ACTTGGCAACAAATGAGCTGAAATATTACACGGCGGCTGAGGTTCAAACATGGTTTATAAATTTATTTTGAAAATAATATTTTCTGACAGTATGTCAAATTTTTAAATCATTATAACTTTGTAATTTTTGAAACGTCAATAGAAATTTTTTTTCTATTCCTTAAAAAATATTTTACTTTTCACTACAGTTTATTTTTTTATTCGAAATTTGACAACGTTAAAAATTAAGGCATTAAACATGAGTAGCAATTTTAAATATTAAAAATACCAAAGTATATTTATATACAGTACCAACATAATCAAATGTGTCAAATTAAGAACAAAGAAAAGTACCTAACTTTAATTAGTTTAAATATTTGTATAGAGTGACATCTATACAAAAATAGAGTACCTAACCTGTTTTATGGCAAAGTTCATCTTGAAACTGTTACCGATTAAGAAGCAGTTTTTTACAGTGAAAGTGAAGAGGATGGGTTATGGGTACCTACTATCCCCAAAATTTTTAATTCTTTATCTGCAAATACAAGCTTGTATATATATATATATACTAGTGTACCTCCGGCAAAATCAAAAGGTCACTACAAACGTGCTTACCTATATTATACCTTTCATAGATTAGCATGAAGAAACTATTAAATAATTTTGTATTTTTATATTGAGATAAAATAGTTTTCAAATTTACTATTATTTTACAAGAAGGGCTTTTTGACGGTTGTTTGACTTAAAGCTCACTTCATCCCGTGACTAAAACGCCATAAAGTCACACCTTGTCGATGTGTAGGTATTTAATGTAATGAAAACACGTACGATAATGGAAGTTTTACAGATGGAAATATAAAAATTAATAAAAATAAAATTCAATATTTAAAACTTAAAACCTGCGTTAGTACGTCATTTTTGGGTCACCTTGCATTAGGTAGGTAACAAAATATTGGTTCCAATAAATGAATATTTTTATATTAGGATTTTTTCTTAGAAAATGCAGTTCTGATAATAGTAATATTTATATTTACAAAAAATTAAATTATTTATTAGGTGGTATATTTTTGTTGGAGAGCGAATTTTAAAAAAGCTATTAAAGCAGAATTTAACATAAATACCTATAGGTATTAAATAACAAAACAATACATAGTAATCAAACAATGTTCATAAAAACAAACATGTCTTTAATCGAGGACGAATTCTCCCAGTATTTAATTACCATTTAAACATAGATGAGCAGTATAAATTCTAAAATCAAATATTAGGCGTGTGCGAGAAGTTCAAATCAAATCCATTCGAACTGTTTTATTCGAGTATTAGAAAATTTAAATTTCGCAATAATAATCGGTCGAACTAAAACTTCCAAAAACAAGCAACAATTAAAAAGTTTTTAGATAAATTTTAAAAATAATGTTAATGCGATTTAAAATATTATTATAGGGGAGGGTGGGGCAGATTTGGACTCTTTTTTTATATATGTCCTCATTCATATGCTATTTGGAAAAATAAAATGTTTTTTTCATTGCATGATGGTTTAGGCTTTTAGAAAATGGCTTGATTTTTTTTATTGGAAAAATAACCTTGCAGTGGGGTAAAAACATAAAAAAATTGGAAGGGTGCATTTGTCCGAAACTGCCCCTGCATGGGGTAGATTTGGACTGGGGTGGGGTAGATTTGGACGTAAATAAAAGGGCTACTTCTTAACTGTTAAATTGTTTATTGGACTTCGTAATTAGAAAAAGACACAGAAAAATTAATATACGAAGCTTGTCTAGTCGTTCCCTTTACCTCTTGCGGCTTAGGAAGTTTGGAGATTATATCATGTCTTGGTATTGAGCTTGTATCATCCACTGCGAGATAACAAAAACCATAATTCTTACGTTTTCTCAAAAACTTTATAAGATATTCGTCGCAGTCCAGAAGTTCTTGAACATTCCGTACAAAATACAAGACTTTTTTCTTTGTAGCAAACCTGACTAGAACAAAGTTTCCAGATATATTCTCGTCATCTAGAAGTCCATCTAATACATTGACATCTTCAAAATCCATATCCAAGTCAGAGTCAACGCACATTTTACGCATCAGTTGTTCATCATCACTTTCACATGATTCCGAAGAACTAAGATCATCTACTATCTTCTTAATTCTTTTATTCTTTATTTGTTCAAATGAGAAATCACTGCTCTCTTCTCGATCAAAATTAACCCTTTTTTTGCCTGACTTTGTCCTTTCTTGAGCTCCACTTATTGTATCATTAATATTTTTTTTTACAGCCTTAACTCTTTCACTTGGATTCTTTTTCTTATTTTGAGCTTTTAATTCCAACTCATTTTTTTCTGGCGTGTTTGTGTATATCCGAGAGCTCCCACGTTTACAGGTCTTGTTTGAAGTTTTGGAAAGGGTCGTATAACTTCTGGACTCAAAACTTCCAATTTATGTTTTTTTTTCCAAGTTTGGCTTGTGATTCTTTTTCAGCTGATGTATTTTTGTCGCTTTCGATGAATACTCTTAAAAGAACTGATTAAGTAACTCAACTACAACCTCAGTAGATGTCACAGCATTGGTCGAATCCGCAGATTTAATGACTTCATTTGAAATTATCCTAATGCGATGACTTAATCCTGAGCATGAGGGTGCTGAAGTAGAAGCTCCGTTTTCTGGTTCAACCATTGTTATTTGATCTTCATGTTCATATTGTAATACGCCATCAAAATCTCCATCGTTAAAAACCAAACGATTCATGGGCCAAATACCCGGTGATTTTATAATATTAGAAGGGGTAAACGATAAGAGGTATGGCTCCCTGCTTAATTTGGCGACTTCATAAATTGAGATAGGCTTTCCGGGATTACATAATATGTAATCATTGAACGAAGTCTTCTGTCGAGCCTTAAAGGGACCATAAACTCCTACGTCAAGGGGCTGCATCTTATGGGTTGAATATGTAATCATTGAACGAAGTCTTCAGTCGAGCCTTAAAGGGACCATAAACCCTACGTCAAGGGGCTGCATCTTATGGGTTGAGTGTGGGGGAAATAATAACATAATAATACCATGTTCCCGACAAAAGTTGATCGCATCTAGCGAAATATGTGTCTCGTGATTATCGAGCAGCAATAGAGTTTTATTCTCTAGCGATCAGTTTGTATGTTTCTGAATGTGTTTCAAAACGTTAACAAATATTTCCGCCGTCATCCATCCAGTTTTTGATGCGTAGCCAATGGCCCAAGTGACTACCTTGTGCATAAAGTGATCTTTCATTCTAACCCGTGGAAAAATGTAAACAGGTGGTATTGTCCCACCAGTTGCAGTTATAATACCACATTTATTCTAGAATAAATAAACGCCAATTACATTGTGAACAAACTACCAAACAGTTATGGTAAATTGGGGCAGATTGGGACTTGTCCAAAACTGCCCCAGTTAAAATGTCCAAAACTGCCCCACTTGTAGTCTTTTCTATTAAAGCGGGACAAAGACAAATATAGAGCTTACTATTCTAAATTAAAGTGAGGTTATGTATAGGCAACTAAACGTTCTTTTACCCTATATAGACATTATTTACAATCATGCATAGATTAGTTTTGCAAAGGCTTACAAATATACGATCAAAAACTTACTTTGAAGTACGAAATCTCACAAACACCTTTTAAAATTTACAAAAACTGTCCTGGATGCATCAGCTTCCCGCCAACCTTTAGTTAGGGCAGGCCTTGCCCAATGACGAGATGGCGCATTTTTCGTCGGTTATTTACCCGCTAAATTTGAAAAGTCCAAATGTGCCCCATGTCCGAATCTGCCCCACCCTCCCCTATTCATGGTACAAAGAATAAATTTATACCTATCTTTTTATAAAAAAATCTATTGACCTAGGTATATGCTAATTAAAGCCAAATTGCATAATAAAAAAGCATTGTTAAGATGCAAAATAATTTACCTACTTACTTAATTATGTAATAAACAAGAAGATTAAGTTAATTAACAACCAAAATGTGATTAAAATTTAATAATAACAAATTTGTTTTAGCTAAATTGCTATTAAATACAAAATATTTACATATAATTAAATTAAATTACAATGTGTAAGAGGTGGACAAGTCATAATTTGATTTTCCTTGTGTGATTCTGTAATTGGCAAAGATACAATAATGATCATAGTTGCTTTTGCTGTCAAAATGAGAAAAATAGTAATAACCGGAAGTGAGGTTAGTTGTCCATAAAGGCAGATTTTGATGTCAACCGAATTATAGTTGTTCGAAATTCCGTGTCCCCCCCACTGTAAAAAGGGCCAACTGTAGCCACAAATCCAATCAATATGTAATTAGATGTGCAAGTAATTAAATAATCCTTGAAAACCCTTTTTTAAATGTAATCCAAGGCCCATTTACAAATATTGTTAATTAAAACTCCTTATTTAGCCATTATTTTATACCCTATTGATATGTATGTAGGTATCAATAACATTTTATGGGTTATTTTACATGGCCAAATTTAACGATTCTTACAAACACCTAAAGTAAAATGTTTTTTCAGTAATCACTAGTAAAAAACATGCTCTCAATTGCCTTGAATCAGAACTTCCGCAAAGGGTTTCAGCTGTCATTCAACTTTTTAGTACGACCGGCGACTCTATTTTATTTAGGTTAGACAACAAACAAATTTCCGTTTAATAAATAAAACAACGAAATTTATATTCACATCACGTAAATAAGTAGTAGGCTTGTACTGATGGTTGTATAACGTAATTTTCCAATTAACATTTCGGTTGCATTGTTCTTTCATAAAATGACGGTAGGTATAGATGAAAAAAAATCGTATTTCCTTATTGAAGGTTCTAGGCCGAACAATACGTGTTTGCAAATTCCTTTCTAAACCAAACAATGGTTTATTACTCTTAAAAGTGCATATAGAAAGTCAAAGGTATACCTTACCACCGCTTAATAATACTTTAATTTCCACTATTGACTAAATTCTCAATAAATCGCTAATAAACACAATAAATAATGATATTTGCTTACCTTTTCGTGGATTACGCTCTTCTTTAAACCCTTTACGTTAAAAACACAGTGCTGGAACCGAAGAATCGATACACTCCTCTCTCTAACCACTCACCGCGACTGAAAAAAAAATACCCACCTCGAAACAGGTTCATAACGGTGCTGCCACCTGGTTGCATCTGTATAAAATCACCTGTTTGAATTGGCGTTGCCAAATTTACGTTTTGTCGTAAATCTAAGTAATAATTGATGTCGCACCAAACATTTAAAAATATTTTTTTTAATATTAAATATGTATAATATATATTGTATATACATTTGTTTCGTACTGGCAACAATAAGATACGCAAATATAAAATTTTGCAATGTTATAAGAGTAAAATATTTTATATAAAACTATAAAAATCATGATTTTATTTATTATTATTATTATATTATTTATTAAGTATACTTACAGAGTAAATCATTAATATTGAAAAAAAAAATCAGGTTAAGATTAATCTTATCCTAAAGAAATTCCTTGAATGAAAAAAGAAAAAACTTTCCAATTTTCGAAAACGTTTCGAAACGATCGTTTCCAAGATACAGTGTTGCATTTTTTTAATTATGTAATTTTTTTTTCTAATTTCTTTTAAAGTCGTTTTCTACTTCCACCTTTAAAACGCCCATTATCGTACATGTTTACATGACACTAAGTGACCTTTTATATGTATACACATTGACAAGTTGTGGCTTTATGGCGCTTTAGGCACGAGTCGAAGATAGCAACAGGTTTTAGTCACGGGCTGAAGGTAGTTGACAGTTGTCAAATGTAATTCAATCGTTAAAATAAAGTGGCTTTCTTGTAAAATAATACTTAATGTGAAAATTATTTTATTATCTCAATACAAAAATACAAAAGTAAAAAATAGTTTCTTGACACCAATATTTATAAAGATTAATGGGCAGTTAACTAGATTTATCTGATAAAGCGTTAAAAAATTTGCGTACAGTGCCCATAAAATATTCTCTTCTCTTTTACTGTAAAAAACTGCTTCTATAAATATTGATTTGCACAGAAAAATTTGAGATTTTAACGGCGGTAGATTCCAAAGTTAGAAATTCTAACGGAAATTCCAATAAATACAACTTTTGTACCTTTAACATTTCCCGTGTAAGAATTTTTAACTTTTATTGGGATGGTTACTTCATATTCAAATATTTAATTTACCTAAATAATTTTTTAGATAATATTAAGTATTTGTCGTAGAAAAAGTATAGTTTGGGCACTTATTTAATTAAATTCGTGACTAAAAAGGCGTTTATAAAACTTGATACATAATATACTATTTTTTCGCGCCATGGGCTCATGTAAAAAAAATTTCAAAATTTTGTATTATTATTTTTGTACTAACCTCTAAATTATTTTCTAAATTAACTTATTTTAAATAAAAACACATTTTTTGGTAATCACAATACTTTTATTAGGTTTATAATTGTTTAACAATGTTTCAACATTAAAATATTGCTTTTCAAAGTTTTTTAATATCTACTCGAAAAAGAAGCTTTAAAAGCTTTAAGTACGTTTTTATTGCAATTAGATTGAAATGTTAAAACTAATAAATAGATAACAGGCATTAAGACATAAATAACGAAATTTTCTAATTTGACTAGAGAAAGGTAACATAATTATTTTGGATACATTTTAAATATAGTAAAATATCACTTATTCAATTTGTGACTATTTTGTACAATTCCATATATAATACCTACATGATTTTGTATACCTATTTAATTAAAAATTAAGTTAAAAAAAATAACAGTTTTAACTAAAAAGACTGAAAGGAACAGTAAAGTTAGTCTTAATTTTTTACTAATCACATATTATGTATAATAAAAATAAAAGGTACACTTTGACAACTTTAGACTAAAATTAGTTAAAAATAAATTGACTAAAATTTATTTGGTTTGATGGCTACATGGGGAAATGAAATTACCTCGGATATAGGGGTACCCAATAATTCTTCACAAACTGCTCCGATATCTTTATCCAACATTAACGATGCGATTTGGTCATCATTTAACATGTCCACGCTAAAAAAACATTTTAAAATTTCATGTACATAATTTGTCAATTAATTTTTTACCTTGATACACTCTCGGTATCCGAGTTATCGTCCTCCACGGTCAGATATGTAAGGGTTTTTTCCAAAGGGCTGGGTAACTTTTTGACGCCCTTGGATTCGGTAATGCCAACCTTTGGTTCGCTATTTCTTCTTTCAGTCATCGAGCCAATGTTCAGCATCATCATGCCGTGCGAGAAAATTTCTTTCATCTTTTCGCTCGTTGGTCCCAGTAGATTATCCAAACTTTGTCTTCTACCTTCATTTTAATGAAAAAAATTGATAAAAACGTAATTTAAAATATACCCTCTTTAAGAATGCATGGGTATAATTTGTATTTAAAGAGCCGCAAGGTCGGTTAAATAAGAGAAAAGTTACGTAATTATAATCCTAATAAAATTTAATTTGAAAATTGGAGAAAAAAAAATCTGCGGTTCTCAAATAATTTAAAATAACTGAAAACCTGTGGAAACAAAATTTTGTTATAACTTCGTTAATCCTAAAAATTTTGATGAAAAGTAAATTTCACATTATCCACATTTTCTACCAATTAGTAATTTTGTTTTTCCTATGGCCGCCATATTGGAATTTCAAATGGTTAGATAGAACAAAAAATCAAGAAACCCAACGATAAGTGAATAGCGTTTTAAAGTGTCGAAAAAAAGCCGAAAAAATTGGGAAAAAACTGTTTTTTTTCAGGTCTTGGAAAAATTGTCTTTTTTGAAAAAAGTAGCAATCAACAACTTTTAATTTAAAACAAATATCCTTTATTACAGAAAAAAAATAAAACTAAATATTGAATTAAATTAAATTGATTTAAGAAAAAACGTAATAGTTAAATATAGTGTCAGTTAGGTCTTTTTTGCAAAAAGAAGTTAGGAATAATTATTATAATCATAATATTATATTCACTTTTGTATCGATATTAGTGTACGGATACCCCCCGTAAAAATTTGTAGATTTTTGGAAAAATTGACTTGAATAAAATGAAAAAAAATGCAAAAACTGTTTTTTTTCACCGGCTCAATTTTTCCGGAAATTTTTAAATGGATTAAAATGTAGATATGCGTATGTTTACATGCAAAACTAATTTTTGACAACATTTTTACAACAAAGTTATAACGAATTTTGGTTTTAAAAAGTTTTTTTTTTAATATTTTACGATACCCAGATAGAAGGATACTTGGTGCACCCTGTATATATTCCTACAGAAGTACCTACTGCTTTAAGATAAACAAAAAAATGCTGACTAATTAACAAAAACTTTGCAATATTAATTTATGACGTCAAAATTATTTATTATTTATTTGCTACTACAGAAAATAATACTGGGGATGATAAACTAAAAAAAATTATTTGTGCCATATTGTTACTTAAAATTTTTAATTTAAGTTAAATTATTTTATTCCAAAACAAAGTCGTCATTTTTTTGGACAATATTTGAGAATAGATAGGTTTTGATACAAAAATTTAAATTATTAGGTTCTAGTAAAATTAGGTGTCAATTTTAAATAGAAATTTCAATATTTGTGTATTACATAACCTGCAGATACGTACCTATTTCAAACAAAATGTAATGCAATAATAACTTATTGTGTTACATTTGTCAATAAGTAAATATTACATTTATTTGCTATATTTCAAATTCTACAAGTAATTTTAATCAATAGATAAATATAGTTTAATTTTATTAATTCTATTATTATTAATTCACAGTAATTTTTTCCAGAATTTTTCTTTAGAAAATTTGTTAACAAGAATTTTATTATTTCTTTAGAAATATTTTTTTATTAAAATATAATGCTAGCACGTTTTTGCACGTTTTGGCCCCCTCAACCCTATCATCAATGGTCATCAAACAACAACTCCCCCCCTGTTCACGTCATCATATTTTTATCCCATTTGTACAGAGTGTTTCACATTCGTGGTCCATTAGAAATTTCTGGGGGACGGGAAAAGATATAAATTTTAAAAGCGTTTATAAAAATTAGAATTCATTTAAAACTATTTTTCTAAAATTTTTTGAACATCAACTTTATTATTTCAAATGGGACACCCCATATATTTTTACATTTTTAAACTCTACATAAAATTCTGAGTATAATTACTATACCATGTCCAAAGTGAATAGTTTTCAAGTTATTAATTTTTTTCGTTAAAATTTGACAAATGGGCGATAATCAAAAATAGCCTATATCATTTTTGTTATTAGGTTTGCGGATGGGGGTGAAATTTTTAAAATCTTACAACATGTTAATTCTTTAACATATTTCAACAAATTACCTGAGAAAACCCAGGCCAAATTAGCCCAACTTGAAACGTAAATAACTTTTTTATTTTAAATGTAATACCCGGTATGTTTTTATTAAAAAAAATAGTAAAAAATCCTTTCGATTAATGTAAGTATTCCCTATACGCTAAAGAAGTATCGGGTTTTCAAACGCGCGCGCCATCTGGTGGACTTCGAATGCATTGCGTGAATTTACGAATTATCAACAATACATTTAAAGCACAGATTATACAGGGTGTTTCATACCAGGAGGCGAAAAATGAAATTCTATATTCAAAACGTCATTCTAAATAAAAATCTTTAATACTTTTTTGTTCTATCATTTTTCGTTTTCAAGTTATTCGAGTTCAAAGTTTTGAATTCAAACAATGAAAGGATAACAATATGCAATAATAGGATTCATAATTCTAGCAACTAAAATATACATCCATGGAAACGTATAAGTATTTAAGTTTATAATACAGTTCATTTTTTTTTATCTGGACTGCGGCAATGTTGCAAACTTAGGGGTTTAGTTGGCAAATATTTCTATTATATTGGCAGCTATAAAACTAAATTAATATTTGTGGTTAAGAAATCAAAAAATATTTACCTTTTAATAGGTTTTTGACCAAAATAGTATTTCGTTATTGTCCTGTAGGATAATTATTTGTACAGAGACTTTTTTAAATCACATAAATACATTGGAGTTTGATATTCCTCTGTTTAAATTTAATGATTTGACAAAAACTGTAAAATTATGTAAAACAGAGATACCAATCCTAAAAATGCTAAAAATCCTGTACATCATTATTAAATAAATAGTTTTTTACAATAGAGAGGAAGGCAGAAGTCTTACTCGACAAATTTTGTTTAATTGCACAGCTAAATTGCGCACGTTATTTGCGTTTTACGTTGCAAGGAAAAAATTAAAAAACTTTTTTAGTACTCGATTTCGATTGATTATTCCTTATACCATTGATTAAGAAACTCAGCGCTTAAATGCTTATATAGTTACGTTATTGTGTGTATTTTATAAAAGGGATCATGGTGAATTATTGTGTTTTTAATTGTAAATAAAATTCAAGAACTAAATCGTTGCATTTTCATGTTTTGCCAAAGGATCCAATTAGAGATGTAAAAAAACGGTTTTTTTTCAGATGTGAAAAAAAACATGAAAAAAAAACCTAAAAAAAAACGGTTTTTTTTGTTTTTTTTTCAAAATAAAATTTTGAGTAAAATGTATATTAATAATAAAGTGAAATATAGAATATATTACATTTTTCATTATTGAAAATTTTGACCGAGACTAAAAAATCTGATTTCTTATTATTTGGTAGTTTCCACATTAGAAACCAATAGCAATGTAAAACTTCTATACTAATACAAAAAATTAAAGGATAAAATTTTTTTTTGTGATTCTTCGGATAGCCTGTATCTTTGTTAAAAATGGTCGTATTGGAGCCGTAAAAAAAGCAATTTGAAGCTTGAAGTTTCTAGTTTTGAGATTTTTAGATAAAAAATGTGCAACGCTCAATCCTAACGAATACAGTAATAAAAAAAATTTTTTTTGGCTTTCTGGTCCACGGAATGTTCTGACTTAACCACAAATGTTCTACAAGAATTTGCTATTGCTTTAAAAAAAAAAAATTCCATACTCTAGATGAATTTGAAAAATCACGAAAAAAGTGCTTTTGGTAGCTTTTTGAAAAATCAATTGCTGAATCAAAAATATTATAATATTATGTAGTTACTTTTTTTAGGACTAAATCAAAACAAGCGCGGTCCTTATTGGTCAATTCGGTGGTGGTGGCGCGTGCATAGCGCGAGACTTTATTTACATTTACTAATTGTCATTTAGTGACTAATTTTAGTCCATGAACTGGACTGGAAACTTAAAAATTAGGCAATTGGGACTAATCTTGAAAAAAAACCTAAAATGTGAAAAAAAACCATTTGAAATAAAACAATGAAAAAAAACCTGAAAAAAAAACAAAAAAAACGGACCGTTTTTTTTCAAGTCGCATCTCTAGATCCAATTCGGAAAGTACATTTGTTGGTGCAGAATTAACTAATGATAACTTTACCTAATATAATTTATATTTAAGTTTGGGCATTTTTAAGAAATTAGTAAAAAGTAATTTTTGCACAAACATAACCTTAAAATCAACCATTTTTATATTTGAGTTCTCTAAAAAACGCCGACAACTGCATTTTAAACAACAAAATATACCTACGAATTCACATTATATTATATTATTTCAGTTGAGTATCTTAAAAAATGTGACCCACCAACATGTATGAATGTGAAAAAATTCAAATCTCTATTCCTTGAAATAGCGAAAATATGGGGGTGTCTTCATCTTAAATGCGACACACTGTATATAATAAATAATATAATGGTATTTTACCGTTGAATGGAGACTTTCTTAATTAACGCTTTTAATAATGCTGAATGCTGTTTTAGTCCGGTCAAATTAGACCAAAAAATAACAGTGAAGGTACATAAATTTACAACAGGCTGAAAATCAGTAAAATTGTTCAGAATATAATTATAAATAAAATTTCAAAGTTCCCCATCATTCCCCTGTATGGAAAAAATTTTATTCAAGGTCAAAGGTCAAAAAAATTAGTTTTTCGCGATTTTCAGCAAAACGGGAAGTTTTATCACAAAAATATCTCTGACGAAAATTGTAGATCATAAAATTGTTTATAAAAAATATATCGATACTTTTTTCCTAAGAGCCACCGTTCCTGAGATATAACGATTCGAAAATTTAGTACGTCACGTATATACATCTCTAGAGTTTTAATGTATGTTAATATATTTTTCTATCGGTCATTTTCACTTACACTTAAAATATACCTACATAAGTTATAACTATAAGAATATCAAGTGAAATAAAACCCAGTCCCTTAAGGGACTGGGTATAAATTAATTAATTTATACGCCATCGAGACAACATCTGTGACAGATGACAGATGATCTGTCATCTGTCAACTTGACATATGTCACCTGTCATCTGTCACCTGTCATTTGAACCTGTCAAATGCCACCTGTCATTTGCCACCTTATCGATTTGATTTCGGGGATTTTAATTGGTTAACTTTTTTAAATACACAACAAAAATTAAACGGGCTTCTGGCCGATTAGTTTTCATTCGATGAAGCTCATCTTTTAGTATGTCAAACTTTGGTCTTTTACCCGTCGATTCGTGTATTTCGTTCGGCCAATTTCGAAAATTTATCTCGCCCTAAGAAACGTTTAAAATTTTTTCGAAAAAAATAAAATAAGATCGAAAAGTTTCCGGCGGATCCGGCCCGTTTGCAATTTTTATTTAAAAATACTAAAATAAAAAACAAGTTCAATTAGCTTGTCTTCCTCCAACCTCAGTTGCTGCTCATCAAAATATTTTTCGGGTATATTACCAAGTTCAAGTGTGGCTTGGTTATCAGCTAGACCCTACAGACTGGGGTTGGAAGTTGGTCAACAACCCATTAGAACCAGTTCAAACTTTACTCCCACCTGCGCCGGAAAAAATGCTGAACACAATTTTTTGCAACTGCAAAAAGGGATGCAGTGCTAAATGTGGTTGCAAAAAAGTCGGACTGTTTTATTCTCTGGTATGTACGAATTGTCAAGGCCGGTCGTGCCATAGAAAGGTCGTGCTCTAATGTTGAATCACCAACAGTGGAGGATTCATTTAATTCCAACGAGGTGACATGCGATACATCGCTACTGCCGCAATTTACTTGTACCCAGGATGAAGATGAAGAAGAAAAAGAACAAGAATAAGTAGAAGAATAAGAAGAAGAATTTAAATGTTACGAATCAGACTAATTAACTTCAGTACTTTTTTTTAATTTACATCGCTTTTATCTTTTCCAATCATTGCTAATTTCCGTTATTTTGCAATAGTTTCAAATTAAACAGGATCACAACTGACCCGTGGAATAGGCTACTGGGGAAACCACGTTAAAAAACGCGCTAAGTACACTACCTCATAGGTGGCGTGGAAACGTGTGCATATTATGACGATTATAACTTTTACAACTTTTCGAATCGTTATATCTCAGTAACGGTGGCTCGTAGAAAAAAATGTATTGATACATTTTTTATAGATAATTTTATGATCTACAATATTTGTCTGGGGTATTTTATGATAAAATTTACCGTTTTGCCGAAAATCGCGAAAAATAATTTTTTTGACCTTTGACCTTGAATAAAAATTTTTCCATACAGGGGAATTATGGGGAACTTAAAAATTTTATTTATAATTATATTCTGAACAATTTTACTGATTTTCAGCTTGTTGTAAATTTATGTACCTTCGAATGTCTAGATTGACCGGACTATTAAATTTAGACGACTTATTTGTTTGACGATTTTTACTGAGTTGAAATATTTACACTTTTCACGTTAATCGCTACTAAAATGTGTATTTATTGTATCTAATAGGTACAATTTATATTTACAGAGACTGTATGCAATTTATTTCTTCGTTCAGATGAACACTGTTTATTGGAAAACCGGTAAAAAATCAACCCAGGATTCCTCTCGAAATACACCCAACAACACAACAAATCGAGCCACGGTTTTCTTTTCGATATTTTTTAACATTTTCCGGCTTTATTCTCAAAAACACTCGCTTGTAACATAACCATTTGACAGCTGATTAAGAAATTGCATTTTGTTCAAAATATTTAAGAAAAAAAGACTTAATTGGATTATAAACGCTTTATAAATTTTAAATCGATATATTTTGCCGCTCCCAAGAATCTTTTAATGGACCACGAACGTTAAGTACCCTGTATAGTTATGCTAAATAAACACGTTCTGACAATTTGTGTCAAAAAAATTAAAGTTTAAATCCTTCAAAATTTATTAATTTAAACTTTTAAGTTTTGGATCGTTATTAAAACGTAGTTTAAACTTACTACTATTAAACGAAACCTCTTCATTCTTCACAGCAGACCTTGTAATCCAATTGGTTATACTAGTATCCAACTTCATCTTATTTTTTAACGCCGAAAACTCGCTGGAAGTCGGCATGGTTTTCTGCCTGAAGAGCTTCGACTTCTCCGCGTTACCATCGCCGGATTTCTCCTCTTCCGGGCTGGAACTGTCCAGATTGATCTCGGTCCACTCGCTCGACTGACTCGGAGCCAGACTCGGATCGACTTTCTCGCAATCGCTTTGCGGAGACTCGGGCGAGTCCAGGTTCGCGTTCTTGTACCCGTCGATCTCCTCCAAGTTGCACGTTATCGGATCGGATTTGCCCGTCAGTCTGCCGGGCAGACCCTTGTACTCGTCTATGAGGTCCTGCGCGTCGTCCAGAAGCGACTCGTTCGAGTCGATGCTCCCCTGCAAGATACATACACCTTAAGATAGGATGGTGCGCATGTTGGGCGGGGCTTAATGACGTCACTTGATGAGTGTTTTTAAATCTTTAACGTGCTTTTTAATTATCTACTGCTAAAATTCTTGTTTTTGCGATGCTTTTGGATGTTAACTTGCTCTACTTTTTGTTTAACTTGTCGTTTTTGTGTTCGGTAAGGTTCGAATTACTTTTCAGCGTTCAAATTATTGTTATTGCGTTAGGTTAACCTGTTAGGTTTGTTTATTATTGTTTTTGTGTTGCGTTAACTTTTTTGTTTGTGTTTTAGATTGTATAGTGCCATTTGCATTTATTAAAATGCGGTGTGGCATATTTGGATGCAATTCGGACAACCAGTCCAAGAAAAACCCTTTAAATAAAAACATTAAATTTAATCGATTCCCGAAAAGTTTGATTTGTGGAAACAGTGTTTAAATGCCAAAAAAATAATAGACAATATTTACGTTAAGACCGCTTCTGTTTCCTATAAACATTTTCTGGACAGTGACTATAAGTTTAATTTAAAACACCAACGCTTAAACTACAGCCCTAAATGTTATCAAGGACTGAAAGCATTTATTATCCATATTATAACACTTTCTTCAATATTAAGTTTAATAAAAACGCACTATGTACAGAAATTTCTCTATTTTCTTTGATAATATTACTATTATTCGTGTATTCGCACGGCAACTACTCATCAAGTGACGTCATGCGCGGGACGAACCAAAACTCGTACACGGGAGCATCCAGCCCTGCTCACCTGTTTGACGGTGTGTGCAGTGAGCTTCAAGGAGGCTTTGCGACGCGTCTGGTGGATCTCGTCCGAGATTTGTTCGAGGTTTCGCAGGGCCTGCGAGTAAGTTAGTTTCGATTGGCCCACGTGCGATTCCAGCTTTTGGATGCGGTATTTTTGCGCGTCGAGGAGCTGGTAGAAGTGCGCTTTCATCTCGTAGTACGGTCTAAAATAATACATTTTTAATTTAGTCACAGGCTGAAGTTAGTTCAAACGTCATAAAATCTGTCAAATTAAGGGTTGGGAAAATTTCACTTTTTGCTTGTACCTACTTGAAATTTCACTTGAAATTTTCACGACATTTATGAAATTTATTAAAATTTCCTAAATGTCTGAAATTTCATGAAATTTATGAAATTTATTGAAACTTTCAATAAATTTCAATCAATTACACAGTGTAATATATTAATATTGAAATAAGCCCACTCGGGGACCATGGCAAATTTCCTATCTTACCTTCTACCCCTCTGTGGGCCCCTGCACCAATAATATAAATAGTAAATACCTATGTTTACCACAAATTTCTTAAGATTTCCTTTTAAAATATTTTTAAAATTACTAAAACTAAGAGAGATATAGCACTTTTTGGTAAGCTAATGAGATTGTGCCACTTTCATATATTTATTATTTTTATATATTTTAGTGAAATTTTACGAAAATTGAAGAAACTTCATCAAAATTTTTTGAGCCAAAGGCATTTTTTATCCGTTTTCCGATGCAATTATAGCAAAAGTAAAATTAATCATGACTTTTAAAAAAAAATTTAAAGTTTGATTTAATTTACAAATTAAATTGGTGTCTAAATTAATTTATGCATATAAGTAACAATAATTACTTATAGTGTATTCAAATCCAAACCGAACTAAACAAAAACGCCCAGACGCTTGATAACTCGTTCTTATTGGTTGTAAATTATTATTAAAGGTCCCAGGGGAGGCCGCATGTGAAATTTATGCGAAATTTTCAGTAAATTGCGAAATTTTCAATGAAATTTCTGAAAGTTTCACAGGCAATGTTGAAATTTTCGAATTGAAAATTTCATTTGAAATTTTTAAAAATTTCACTTTTCCAACTAAATGAAATATTTCAAGTTTGAAACTTTCAAAGTTGAAATTTTCATTTGAAAATTTCAACTGTCCCAACCCTAGTCAAATTTCATAAAAATCGTCAAAACAAAGTCCCCCAGACGATGGAAGCTAATTTTTTAGCGTCAAAACAGTCAGGTGATCAACTTTATAAATTCTATAGTCTATAGACGCTAAAAATTAGCCTCAAACGTTATTTTTTTATTTTATCTCTTACGATCTCACTCACGAAATTTACATAAAAATTAAACTAAATAAACAATTTAAAAGCTATCAACATTTTTCGAGTTTTAAAACGAATTTTTAAAATATTCTTTGTGAAATCTTAAAACAATTGATAGTCAAAAAATATTTTAAATATAAAATGCAACTGTAAAACTTTGTTTAAAAATATTGATTTTTAAAAGTTTTAGTTAAAATATTTTATTCTACAAAATTATTGGTTTAAATTTTTAAAGAGTCATTTAAATGATAGTTGATATATGTTTAATACAAAAATTCTCACATTACATTTAAATGTAAGTTTTAAATTTTAAAGTAGTAATTTTTGGATTAAAAATTTATCGACCCTCATTTAAATGACTCTTAACAAATTTAAACCAAAATTTTTTATATTTAACAATTTTAAAGTGATAGGTACATTTTTAAGACAAAATTTATAACTTTACATTTACTTAAATGCAAATCGATAATTTTGCTCCATAAATATTTGACGCGTTTTAGAAATTATCGTATTGAAATGTTTCTTTATTAAATAAATTTAATAATAGAACAACATTTTTAGTGCCTAAAATGTAGTACCACAATATTACGTGGGTGCATCATACAAATTCCCGCTTTCCGGCTTTTGTGGTGAGGTTAAGTATTAAGCCTGATTTATAGATTGCCTTCCTTTCTTCCTTTTAAAGTTTAAAATGTAAAAACTTTTATATTAGGAAATTTTATTTGTTTGTTGTGGTTTTACAAGATTTTTGTGTTTTTTGGAGCCTGTAGGCTCCATGGTTTTGGCTTTAAGATTTTAAGAATAAAAAAATGGTATTAAATAAATTATAAAGTACCAAGTTATTTAAAAAAATATTAAAATTCATAAAATATATATTTTATAAACCTCTAGTTATAGGTATTTTCTTTTTAAGAATTCTCATGGGGTCCCTACATGATGTAGAAAATTAGTGTGAAAATACTAAAAAAAAATTAGTATGAAGTTATCTTTAGAAATAATCATAATCATGCAAGAAACATGTTGATTTATTTGTAATTTTTCAGTCATAATTCTTGTTTTTATTGTTTTAATAGCATTGATCTTCTATTAAATATACTATTATACTATATACTATTAATTATTTTTTGTAGGTTTTTAGTTTTACAGGACATAATATGAATTTCATATTCACCATAAAAAATTATACAGGGTGTTTCTTAAGTGGATACTAATATGTGCTTTATCCTTAATATTCATCTAACCAAATCTATTTCCTAAATAAATTTAATATTTAATTTGTATTATCACTGCAGTGTTAATTATTTCCCAATAAATTGTATACATAAAATGTTTTGAAATAATGGGAAAGTTTTATTAAACAAAAAATGTCCAAATTTAGATAAAAATAAAAATAATTACTTACACAAACATAAACTCATGTTGTGACAAAATGTTACTCATTTTCATAAAGGACCTTCTTATGGACAAACTAAAGAAAAAAAGTAAAATAAAATAATAAATAAGTAAAAAACTATCACTAGGGTCACAAAAAAAATTACCGGCTTTTATTAATGGCCCTTTTCAAATCTTTCTGTAAACTTTGTACTTTTGTATTGGCAGCTTCATGTTTAAGACAAGCGAATCGATGCTCACTCTCTGCTATACTCCTGTCTGTTTCAGCATCGTTAACTCTTTGTGTTGCATGGTTCAACATTTCTTGCCAAGCAGGGTCTAAAAAATACATACAAGTAATATTAAAACAGAAGGGCAGGAAGACGAAAGTCGTTAGCCATTTGGATTTCCAATAAAGTTTATTATTATTATTATTATTAAAACAGACTTAATTGTAAAAACTAATTACCTAGCGTTCTCCCTCCTAAACCCTGTTCGGCCAAATACACCATCTCCCTAGCTGCACTGTGCGCACTATTGGCCCTCTCAAACTTCATAGCAGCGATTTGCGTTTGTTTCAAAGCCTCGTTTGTAGTAAACCTGGCCTCGTAGTAAGGTCTTGCTCTCTCAACGCATATACCCAGTTTGGCCCTTATAGCCTCTACCCTGGCTGTACTATCACATAACAGTTGGCGAAAATTGTTTCGAGCCTCGTCTAGTTCCACTTCCAGCTTGTTTATTTCATCGGTTGCATTATTCAGGCGTTCTAGTTCGATATGTACTCTTGGATCCACCATTTCGCCGTATTCTGACCCATTTTCGCACATATTATTGTCGTTTGAAAAACTTGTAGCTTAAGTAACTGGTTTGTTTGTTTATTGCATTAGTAGTTTAGAATTTTGCTAAATAAATATAAAATTATTTAGGTTGACATTAACGTCAACATAAATGTCAAGAGTCAAGGCCTTTGGCGGCATTGCCAAGTTTAAACATACAACGTTGTATTTATTAAATGTTGTATTTATGTAAAATAAAGGTACAAAAAATGAAATTTTTTTAAATAGTTCCAAAAACCACAACGAAGCCTTCGGATAATGTGTGAAGAACAATACGATGTGAAACCGAAATCGCTTTATATTGAAAATTAATCCGGCAACGTAGCAATGAAACCATCGAAGGAAAGTTAACTGTAAACATATAAAACATAGAAAACAAACCATAGACGTATAAAACAGAAAAATTATTTATGAACATAAAAAAAATAGACCATAAACTTTGAATAATATGGTGTTCTTGTCATAAACGTATGCCATAAAAGCGAGAAATCAATGATAAAACGCAGAAAAATTACCAATGGACATACAAACAAAAATAAATAACCATAGACATATAAAACTTAAGAAATACGGTTTAAATAACGCTTTAAATAACACTTGAAATATTAAAAAATATACTATAATTATTTATTTTTTGTATGTAATATTTTAATTGAAATACTCACGGTGTCTTCTTCTTCTTCTTTCTAAGTTCGGTATTGACAACCTTGGTGCTTGGAATCTAGTCCATGTGACCATATGCTTGTAGTTGGGAACTAAGATCCTGGATGTTTTATCCCAGGATCTCTACACCCCAAAATGACCCTCTTCGAAACAGTTTCTTCCAGAGGCAATGTAGACTTCCAGGTATTGTGATGGAAATGATTTGAGAGGAATAAACTTGATAGGTAAGGATGGTAGAACGGAAAAATGTAGGAATCTAGAGCACATCATAAATTTAAATTAGATTCTTTTAAGAAAGAAAAAATTAGCCTATACGTATCTAAATGAAATGAAGCAAGCAATGGGATACTTGCTAAAGGTGGATGATGCCCCAGGGCTAACAATTTGTTATACAAATTATTACAATTATGTTGGTTATTTTGACAATTAAATAAAATATGGTTGATACTGCCGAATTCTCCGCACACACACAAGGGATCTTCTTTTACACCAATACGGTTCATATGTTCCGGGGTTAGGCAATGCCCCAGCCTAATTCTAATTAATGTTGTTACAAATTTTCTTCCCACAAACTCGGGTAAGTAAAACCACGGAATCCGCCAATCCCTTCCCGAACTTGCATAACGTTTGCCTCTGGTAATCTTAGAGCTGTTCCAATAATCTTTCCATTTTGAGTATAAATTATCTCTACTCAATTTAACAAAGTCCATCCACGGAATTTTGACTCTGCTCATTGGCATATCTGCACCTTTTTTTGCTAATAAATCTGCCTTCTCATTTCCAGAGATTTCCATATGTCCTGGAATCCAGCAAAGAATCCCTACACAATTTTCCATGGCCAAATCGTGAAATATTTCCCTAATGCTTATAATAAGGTTATTCAGGGTAGTAGTTTTGTTGGAATGGGAGACAATAGACTGGATGCCACTCATTGAATCGGAGAAGATGACGAATTTTTGGATTTTTCTCTCCAAACAAATACAAGCTGCCTTAAAAATGGCCCATAATTCAGCGGTGAAAATTGAAGCTGCTTTATCTATATTACATGAGAAATTAATTTGGAGATTTTCACTGTAAACCCCATAAGATGTAGACACTGAGGGAACCACTGATCCATCAGTGAAAATATGGGTAAAGTCCGGCCATTTTTTTTTAGTTACCTCCTTAAAGATGGAATTATTAAACGTTTTCAGACGTGGGTCCCTGGGTATTCCCAAATCAAGGCAATGGGGAATTTTGATCTTACCTTTAAAATAATCCGAAGAATAGATAGGGAGTTTATTTTTCACAGAAATGCGGCAGCGAACGTCTGCTAGATTATTCATAGCCAACACCAGATCATTTTTTTCAGCAGAGGCACCACGAGCATTTATGCTCGTCCTTAGAATTTCAATGTGATAAATAACTGGATTATTTGAAATAGAAAAGTTTTTTAATAGAAATTTATCAGTTAAAAAATGTTTTCGGAAACGCAAAGGGGGTTCACATGCCTCAATCTGTAGGGCGTTTGTAGGAGATGATCTCATTGCTCCTAGGCAGACACGAAGAGCTTGGAATTGAATTTTATTGAACCTTGACTCGTTTTTGAGTGTAAAATAGTTTATTAATATTAAGCCGTAGTCAATTCTGCTCCTAATTAATGCTCTATAAATGTACAAAAGGGTTTTGGGGTCTCCTCCCCATCTGACACCAGTTAGACTCTTTAGGATATTTAAATATTTTGTGCATTTTGAACTCATGTCTAGGACCTGTGCATTCCACAGTAATTTTGAATCCAAAATTATTCCCAGGAACTTATTGGTATTGACACTAGGAATAGGAGCACCCTGAAGGGAAATGCTATTAAATAGGGGAATTCTCTTGGCAAAAATCATATCTCTACACTTACCAGGGTTCAAACTAAGACCTCTTTCTGAAAGCCAAGAGTATACCGACTCAATTGCACGAGACAAACGATATTCCAGCAAGTTTTGATCCTTATGTGTGGAAAAAAGGACTATGTCGTCCGCATACTGGAGGAAACGTACTCCGATAGGCAGAGCATCCTCAATCTTTCTAACATATACATTGAATAGAACGGGACTAAGCACGGAGCCCTGAGGAAGGCCCAAACGAGATAAACGAGAAATTTCCACACCAGAATGACGCATGATAAAGTGTTTTTCCTGGGTTAAATTGAAAATTAACGATGCTAAAAATTGAGGAATGCCCATTTCTATTAGATCATTATAGAGGATATCCGGCAAAACCCTATCGTATGCAGACTCAATGTCGAGGAACAATGCTCTGGTTGCAGATCTTTGCATAAATCCAGTTTGAATTGCCGAAACGAAAATAGATACGCAGTCAATTGTGCTCCTTCCTCCCCTGAAGCCGAACTGATTAACAGGTAAAAGGTCCTTGTTTTCAATCCACCATTGAAACCTGTTTTTAATGAGATGTTCAAAGACTTTTTTAATACATGATGTCAATGCTATAGGTCTATAACTATTGTACAAATTTGGATCTTTATCCGGCTTCAAAAGAGGAAAAATCACAATCTCTCTCCAACTTGTAGGGACGGCCTCTCGTCCACTCAGTAGGTCATTGAAAAATTTTAGGAGAAAAAGGAAACCCTCTGGAGCCATGTTTTTTAACATATTATATGTGATCCCGTCCTTGCCCGGAGCGGAATCTTTGACCTTATTTAACACCTCAGAAAGTTCAAAACGGGAAAATGGATTCAGCAAAGGGTGCGGATCATTGTTATTTATCGTTAGGTCGATGGGACCGGGACAAAATGAGGGAGCAAGATTATCTATGAATTGCTCCTTCCAAAGTTCATTATCAGCAGTAAAGGCATTTTTTCTGAAAAGACCCGTTTTAAACTTTTTAATGTTGTTCCAAACTTCTGTGATATTGGAGTTTCTATTTAGGCTCTCTGCAAAAGTTTGAAAGGCCAAACGTTTTTTTTCCCTAAACTTCCTTCTAGTGATCGCACATACTTTTTTATATGTAATGAAAGATTCTCTGGAACCCGAAGAATTGAATGCGCGAAGAGCACCTTCACGATTTCTAACACAATCCTTGCACTCTTCGTCCCACCAGGGGGACACTTTATGAAATCTCAACTGACTCTTCATTGGGACAGCCCTATCGGTTGCCTGTAATAGCGAACTAATGAAGTTTTCATAATTGATCGGCCCCGATCTAAATATTTGAGTGCAGACCTCGTAAAATAGTAACCAATTTGCCTTTTTAAAATTTCTCTTAGGAAATGTGTGAGAAAGAGTAGTCTGCAGGCTGACCGGCATACAATTGTAGTTAACTGAAATTGGAAAGTGATCACTGCTATATGTACTAGTCATCGTTTCAGAGTTACAAAGCAAAGCAATATTAGGTGAGCAAATTGCCATATCAATTACACTTCTACTTTGAAAAGATAGGAGAGTTGGTTTACAGTCGTTCAAAATGACTAAATTGTTATCATTAATGTACTCAAAAAGAACTCTACCATTAGCATTTGAAAAGGAACTACCCCAACTAATATGATTGGAATTACAATCTCCAACCAAGATATATTTGTTACCCAGAAAAGAAAAAATATCATGCCAAAACCTTTTAGTGGATTTAAATAACGGAGCAATATAAACTGTGCAATAAATGCAGTCGTTAATTTTGATAGCTACCGCTTGAACCTCGTTAAATTGAAAATTCAAATCAACAACAAAATATCTGATATTACGTTTTATTAGAAGGGCAGCTCCTCCTTTGCCATCAGCTCTGCAGCAAGGTTCAAAATTGTATTTAGAGTGTGAGAAAAATTGTTGGTTATTGGGTTTAATCCAAGATTCGGAGATTGAAATTATATCTGGATTGTTATTATGAATTAAGAGTTCTAACTCGTGGCGTTTGTTAACTATACTTCTTGGGTTCCAGTGAATTATACTAACCATAAAATTTAAATAGATTCGTTATCACTCCCCATGACCATGACTTCATTTGCCTGATCAGGGTTGCAATCGACCGAACCAAAAAATTCATTATATAGCTGAATTAACAAGTCTGGATTAGACTTGGATAATTGAATAAATAGCTGTAGGAAAGTGTTATTAACGTCAGGTACCTCAGTGGACGATTGAGTAGTACTTGACTTTGAAAAGCACGGTGATTTTTGAGGACTATTTGGAAGCCTTCCGCTTTGGTTGACGTGGGCCTGCTCTGAGAATTGGGCTGATCTTTTAACCGGTTGGGAAACCACCTTTGAAATAACTTTGGTAAATTTTCTATTTTTAGAGGGTGAATGTTCCACACTGTCATCAGGAACAGTTTGTGAAGAAAGGGGGGGAAATTGACTGGATAAAGGATTAAAAGTCGAATTTTCATTAGGAGAAACCGAGTTTTTAATCCTAGGAACTTTTTTGGAAGCCTCAAAAAATGTAAGTTTATACTTAGCCATAATTTCTTTGATGGTTT